TCGAATAAAGTTTAATTAAGCTGATTTTGAATCTTCAGATTCGATCTCCTTTGAATTTGAAAGAGCTAATTTCATTACATCTATTTAATTTGTCCATTAGTATTGTCGATAAATTGAGGAACATTTGTGTTGGATAAAAAGCAAGTCAACACATCAGCAGCTACCTCAACATTTAAATTGTAATATTTAGCAGCTAAATCACAGAGGAAACTTGAATCTTGACTGGATGTTACAGGGACAGATGAGACACACGTGTGTTTATCCAGTGAAGAGTGACTGATGAAGAAATGCTGCCATCAAAGGCTCAGTGCGTATACTACTACTGAAATTAATAAAACATCTTTTAAATCTTAAGTTGTAGTTTATTTTAATTATTGTAATTTCAAACATAGCTATTACAGCGCTTTTCTGATTCTTGATTGCTGTACATTTGATGCAGAGCTTTTGTGGTGGAGCAGAAGACGGCGGCATTTGTGGAAAAAAAGGAAAACCTGAAACAAAAATATAAAGTAAGAAAGCGTAAGAAACCATTTTGTTACTTCTAATACAGAAATAAAATGACATTGTGCTGTTAAAATGACTGCTTGTGTATTATATTTGTGCATCTTTGTAGGATCTGAAATGTCTGCAGACTGGTGCGAGCAGCGAGGATGGAGAAGTCCACAGCAGCATCCTGGAAATGGTCCTGCCCTCATCTGCCTCATCAGGACCGAATGTTGCTGTGGCCTCTTCATCATCAGTGACCCCAGAGCCAGCGAGAGCATATAAAGAAAGACCAAAAGACACTGAGGATGTGATTTTGTTCAAGTTTGTTCTGCTGGTTTCTGTTCATACAACATCAGTCAATGAAACCCAAGTTTCAGAAGCTTCAAAAGCATCGTCAAATAATTTCATGAAGAATCTGAAAGTCAGGCTCCATTGACTGATATTGTATGAACAGAAACCAGCAGGACAAACTTAACCGAAATCACCTTTTGTGTTTGGAAAACACACACACACACACACACACACACACACACACACACACACAAACAAGGATTGAACAGCGTGGATGCGAGTAAATAATGACTGAATTTATATGTGTTGGTGAACTAACCCTTTAAAGCCCCAAATAGAAATTGTATGAAATATATGTAAGCATTTATATTATAGTAGTACCTTGAAGAAATAAACGTGAAGAAATAAGCAGCTTTATTGAGCGTTTGTGCCCAAGGCACAAAAAATAAAAAATTAAAATAAAAAAAACATTTACATTTTTATTTTTATATGTTAATTGAACATTTTTTTTAAATTTACATTTAGGCATTTGACAGACACTTTTATCCGAAGTGACTTACAGTGCTCTTATTACAGAGACCCCCAATCCCCCTGGAGCAACCTGGAGTAAAGAGGCTTGCTGAAGGACACACCGGTGGTGACGACTGCAGAGATCGATCCAGCAACCTTCTGCTTACCAGTTCACCACACCACAAATGTAATGAAGCTATATCAAAAATTAGCATGTAATTGTAAACATATGAAATGAAATTTGGCAAGGAATGGAATGCTGACAACATGAGATGTAAAACGTTTTACTCTGTGTAAATTATTTGCAGGTAGTCATGCTCATGGAGAGCAGCACACAAATGTTTGGAGCAGACGGAGCCGCAGCCAGATTGTCCTGCACATGTTCTCCTGCTCTTGGTAAAGATTGTGTGGTTCAGGGGCGTCATCATGGTCTTCCTCATCCTCTCCCCCTAGCTCCCCCGTAGTTCGCACCCTGGTTTCATGTGTTGTTGACTTGTATTTATTTATTGTCTTGGTTACTTTTATTTATTATTTTACTTATTTATTCATGTTACCTGTTCTAGCATTTGTAAAACTGCATTTTTCCATCTCAAAAATATATCTAAATTACAACCTATTCTCTCAATGTCAAATGCAGAAATGTTAATCCACGCATTTATGACCTCAAGGTTAGATTATTGTAATGCTTTATTGGGTGGTTGTTCTGCACGCTTAATAAACAAACTCCAGCTGGTCCAAAATGCAGCAGCTAGAGTT